GTATCTCCTTGTTATGGTTGATCCATTTTAGTAAATGGACCGAAATTGTTCCCCTTAAAACGAGCCTCCGCGAAATTAGTTACTGATTCTATTTTAAATAAATATATTTTAAAATACGGGGCGCCCCTAAAAGTTATATCGGATAATGGTCCTCAATTTGTAAGTAATATATTTGAAGACATGTGCCAAAAACTGGGCATACGTCATTTAAAAATGGTCTCGTATCGGCCGCAATCAAATATAGCGGAACGGGTCAATAGAAATATAGTGAAAATTATCCATAGTTACGTTAAAAATTTTCATAAAACCTGGGATAACTATGTCAATGAATTAGCGTTCGCTCTTAGGACCGCAAAACATGATACAACGGGCAAAACTCCTGCTGAGTTATTTTTAGGCAGAAAGATTATAACGCCGTTAGATAAATTATTTTATGTTCGACAAAGAGCCCCAGAATTTAAAATGGGTGACATAGAAAAATTAATTAAAGAAGCAAAAAAGAACACTGAAGTAGCACAGAGAAAACAAAAACTTTATTACGATATGAAACGACGGGGAGTAACTTATAAAGTAGGAGATGAAGTATTAAAAATTAAGCATTCACTTTCTTCAGCACCAGAAGATAAAACCGCCAAATTTTTTCCACGATTTGAAGGACCATATGTCATAGAAAAAATAACTCAGGCTGTAGTGGTGTTAAAAGCCAGGAATGGTGAAACATGCTCCGCAAACATTGACCAGATAAAACCATTCTGTAATCGTAATAAAATGCAAATATTTAAAGATCTTTTGCAGGATCCGGCACGGCAGGCACTGCAGGCAGAAGCTCCAGAGGTGAAACAACAACAATCACAAGGGCAAGCCATTAGGAGGCAGGAGCAATTGAAAAGAAAGTTTCCCCGTTGGAAAATTGAAAGTAACAAGAAAAAGAAGCCGTTCCACGGACCAGAAAAGAGAGAACACGACCACCCCCCAGAATGAAGAAGGGAGAAGTACGACGAATGCAAAGAGAGCCAGGAGAAATGACGGCAACTATAACCCGGCTCCAAAACGGAAGTTCTACCCATCGAATAGGAGTCTACGCAGCAACTGTCGACGAATGGATAAAGGAAGACCAGCTGCAGATGCAAAGAAGCAAGATAAATTTGAACAGCCAGCAACGAGATCCAAGCAGGAACGATAGAGAAGTGTCCCGGTTCCGCCAAGACCATCAAACGGCCAAGACCACAGGCAGAAGGGAAAAAGAAGGTATTCAAGGGTGACCGAACTGGAGGTAAAAGAAAGCTACTAGAGGAAGGATCTGAAGGGCGAGCCCGCACAAGAAGGAAGATAAATCAAACACGAATCTTGGCTACCTTCCAGGACTGGGCAGAGAAAAGAATGTCCGAATATCACAAAGATAAGTAAAACTTTATGTTACTTTGCAAACTTAAGTTAATCTTTCATTCTTACTGCAAGTGGCAGATTTCAAGACGTTTTACCTCATGTGAGGTTTACCTTTATCGCCAAAAAGGCGAGAAATGAGTTGTTACCTATTTTGGTATTATGTTTTTCAATTACTCGCGAGTAAAACTAAAGTTATCGTATAATAGGAATGTGTAAATACTTGAATATGGTAAAAAGTTATTGTATAAAATTTTATTTAAAACATTCTGGCAAGAAAGAAGATTTTAGTCTGAAAGACTTTTGAAATGTAGTATTTCAATGTAGAAGAATTGGCACTTGCTTTGAAAAGAATAGAAGTTAACAATGTACTACTAATGTATGTTTTCAAATGCGTAAAATTAACGGCATGTTAATATGTTCTTATATACAATGTGAACTGTTATTTTAAATGTTAAGAAATACCGTGATATGGTAAAAGTGAAAGTAATGCAAAAATTTTTTTTATTCGTGTGACTGTAAAAAGACTAAATCATGGTGAATATGTGTTAAAGGTTGAATGAATGTAGTTAGGCTCTCTGACGCTACACTTCAGAGTTAGCCACTTTCAGAATAGTACCTCAGGGTTTAGAGTTGAAAGATTAGGGTGTGTTATGAGGTCTGGTTATGTTGAATTTTTAACACGTTAGTGTTTTGATTGTAGGAGGAAGTGTGGAACACGTAGACATAACACATTCGTGTTCGGTGTTTTCTTTTACAACACATGTCAGAGAGCACGGGGAGAGATAATTAAATAAAGTCATGAATGAAATAAGAATGTTAAAACAAAATATATGTATTCATGTTACTTGCCATTTAATTGTGTTAACATTTCATTAAACTAGTTTTCCTTCCAGATCTCTGGAAGGAACCAGATTTCAACTAAAAGCTCCTGTTTAGATGCAGTACAGATGAAAAGTAATTGTCCATGGAGCTGATAATGTAAAAACAATTTTTTTTTTTAAATTTCTAGTTTCTAGTGAGGAATGTTTTTAAAAGATTGGCCTCGCGTTAGATTCTAGAGCTAAAAGTTTTCAACAAGGTCATTTTAGACCTCAGTTTCAAACTAATTAACTCTGGCGGGAAGTATGTAAGGATCTTAAGTTTTACTAACGTTTATTTTATTTTAAATCTTTACTATCACTTCTTATTTTCTACTTCCGGCCAGAATTAAAAGCTTTAACCTATTTATGCAAATTTGTCTTGCTAACGCCAAGTACTTAAGTTGTGGTTTTTTGCCAAGCAAGAGAGAGAGGAAGGAGTTAGTCGAAGCAGGCCGCTTGCCTTAGCAGTTTTACTCGGTTGCTGGTTGCCTTCCAGGCCAGAGGTTTAATCCTCTTAATAATTTTAAACGTATTGTAGTGTTAACAGTTCTCTGTACTACATACGGCTTCCTGTTAATATACGGCCAATCTTCCACGTAGGCCCTTGTTTATTATTCCAAAGTTAAGTTAGAGTTTAGTTAATATTTTTATATTCTTACGTTCAGACCACAAGTGGTCGGTCTCTGTATTCCGAAGTCCGGAAATCATTGTAAAGAGTGAAAAATAAAGGGTTTCGTATACCCTTCCTGTGTATCTTGTCTACTTCCCACATTTATTGAACATAGCTTTAGTAAGCTCCCTGTTCCGAGTCTGGTTCTTGAATGTTCCCAAAGTAAGTAAGGCGGAACACTGAACCTGATAACCTTTCTAAATATGTAACAAAGTCTTTAAGTTAATAATGCCCAGAACCACCGCCAATCCGTTGCAACTTACTTCCTACCAAATCATCGTATTACAATAATGTCACATCTTATCACAAAAATGATGCAGTCTTATTACATATATATATATACAAAGAAGTTTGTAAATATTCTGGAATCCATTAACCTTCTGTTCTTCTGTTTTTAAACTGCTTGTAAACCCGTCCAAAGGTCCTGCTATAATGGACGGTTGTTTACGCAAGTGTTTACGCATCAACAGAGTGGCCACAATTTTACTCAGAATTATCGGTTATCAATTCCTCTTAATTTTTAATTATGCCGCTTACCGTAAAATTTGCAGAGAACTTTGGTCTAACTGAGTAAGTGTCGAAACAAATCATAAAAGAAAGAAATCAACATGAAGCGAACTCTAGGTAAAACTTAATGAAATGTCCCAACCGAATCTCTGTAATTTTAACGTAATTTTAACATAATAAGACGAACAATGACATTTAATTTTAGAACTTTTATTTAAAATTTTTGAAACGTGTTTCAAAAAAAAAAAAAAAAAACGAATTTAAAAGTACAGTTTTTTAAAGGCCTTAACTACTAAGAAAATTCAATACAATTTACTAAATAAAATAATTTAAAAGGCTTGAAACTTAAGTTTTTTTTTTCGTTATCTATTACAAAATGTGGTTAAATAAATTTAAAATGATAAAAAAATTAAAGAATCTTAAGCAAAACAAGAATAAAGACGGGAAATAATTTAACATTGACAGTTGCAAAATATGGAATGCTAACGTTGTCCGTACCAAACTGATACAGCGATACACTGAATAAACGTGATAGGCTACTGGTGATTCAGTTACACTCAAACTGTGATAATCATACGATTTTTTAAATGAAAGCGTTTATTCACATCAATAAAATTAATTTTTTCAAAATTAAAAGTTTAATTCTGTTTTTAGGCTAGTTTTTAAAAGATACGATTGAAGGGGAATTGAAAACTCACGATACGATTTCAGTTTATGAACCTTGAATCGGTCGCTAGATTCGACAGTTCGCAAATTAGAATATCCTATCATTAATTTTGACCAAGTCAGCACGCGCGACAGGAATCGCACTATTGATCTGAAAAAGTGTGTTAATCATACCGAATTAACGTCCGGAATGAGATAATTTATCTTAGACGATGTTGATTCCCGTGGCTTTAACAGACCTTTAGAATGCCGTGAGAATAGTTAGAAATCTAGAAGAACAAGTATTTGAACAAGCTGCTAAAAGAACAATGATAACTTTGATAACTGCCATTGAGGTCAACATAAAAGTTACGTTTGCATACTTAATGTCACAGACCTTCTTGCAATAAGATCTCGTAATTTCGTTTTGATCTTATAAATAAATTTCATATTTAATAAATAAACAGGTTTTAACTATTCAACTAAATCCTTCCTACTCCTTTTTCTTGTTTTTTCCAATATATTTGATCATTATGAACAAATGGCATGTTGCGATGCGCGATTTTATTTATTTAGAATGTAGTCATAATACCTATAAAATTATACAGAAAAAAATTTTAAATATGGTATAATTTTTTATTTTAGGTAATGATGTTATATACGCTTTCAATGATCGCAAGTGGCATTCTGTTTATTTTGATTTTACTAATTAGTAATAAATACTGATAAGTTATTGATTGGTAAAACATAAACAGATTATTACTGTTCAATTAAGTCATTACTTCATCTTTACTTGCTATTGCCAATATATTTGATCGTTATAAACGATTGGCATGTTTGGCTGTGCCATTATATTTAACATCAGAATGTAGTTATAGTACCTATAAAATTACTTAGTAAAAAATTTTAATATGGTATAATTTTTATTTTAGGTAATGATGTTATATATGCTTTCTCTAACCAGAAGTTATATTCTGTTCGTTTCGATCTTACTGACTACAGTGGAACTAAAGCCCATGCAGTGTATAATAAATTCTGGATTGATGACGAAGATCGCAGTTATCGTTTACATATCAGCGGATACCATGGAAACGCCGGTAAGTTTAATTCAATTTAGTGAATCTTTATATTTCATTATTAGTTTCAAAGTAATAAACAGTAGGAATTGTTGATTTAATGTAGAAAAATGCAGCATTTATGGCAGCTACTATCCTTTTGTTATTGTAAAAAATCATTGCTTTCTCGTGTAATCAATAAATAAAAGTTCTGTAAAGTTTGTTATATATTTTAGAAAAAAAAAGAAAAAAAAGGAAAACGTGCATGTTTGTAGCAAATTAAAGGTAATTCTCGCACTCTGAGCGAAACCACAATTAATTTCTCAAGATTACCCTCTGCCAAACTCTTTACGCCACTATAACTGTCGCTGGAGCTAAAATAAAAATAATAGCTCGTCATGAGAGTTCAACTGGACGATTACGGTTCAGATGGCTTTCCCCATTCGTATTTAGATAGAGGAATATAAGACATTAAAAACATCCCTCCTATCTGCTATAATGGTGCATTAGTTTATAAGGTATTTTCTCCCTTCTTTCTGCATGCATTCGTAATGTAACGGTAGCACACTCAGCATATATTCGAGACGTCCAGGTTCGAGTCCCGGCATGGGCAATGCAGAGCTATTTTCAAGAGTTTCTACTCCTTCCTCAAACTCCTAAACTCTCTATGGGTTTACATTGTCACAGTTATATTACAAAAGTACGGATTTCCATATATGAATTTAAAGAAATATCTAAATGCTTGTGTTATCGTGATTATACCTCATTTAGGGACGTAAGCTACAAGCGTTATTTCGTATTAATATCCAATATATTTGGAGCTCTGAGCCAACTGACAGTTATTAAATCTGAGTATTGCACCAGCAGGATAGCTTAACGCGGTTAGTAGGAAGAGTAAAAGAGTAGGAGAGAATGTCATGTTCGTGTTATTGTGATATCTAATCTCACTTGTCTGACCTAATCAGAACAAGCCTACAAGTTTCATCGTGGCAAGGAGAGCAAGCCTGTGTCTGTCGTTGGCATGAGCCTTGTGCAGTAACTCTGAAACTTTGCTCATTTCCATCCCAATTTTGAAGGAGAGCTTCTTGGGGTATGAGTCCAAGGATCACCCATTCCTCTTTTCCTACCACCAAACCACTCGAGAGGAATTTTGGTTAGCTGAATATTTTGTGTGCTGCCATGCCTAACAGACGTTATATATTTACAAACATTTAACACTTTTCCGGGATTCGTAACCTGGGCTAGCGGTACGCCAATCATCGTTACTAATCACTACACTGTTTGGGAGATGAGAATGCATTTCGGCCAAAATTAAACAGTGGAACGGGTACCAATTCGTGCCCTTTATTCATAGTTTATACAAAGTGAAGTCTGTAAAGTGTGACCTTACTGTATCAGATTTTTCCTATGCGGAGTTTGGAAAGAGACGGGAGAGAGACGGGTTATTCGGGATGCATATCATGGTTATTCAGGAACTGGGAGTCTGAAAGTCTGAAACAACGGTTGCAGAAGACACAAACGAAATGGGTTAATAGGGGCTATGGTCTCCTCCTACAGCCATACAGGCCTTGCAGTGTGATGTCAAACTGGAAATAACGCAGCTTATCAGTGCCTGTGGCAATTGGTCCCACTCATTCAGCAACGCTGTTTTCTGTTCCTGGATGGTTCTCTAGAGGGGGGGTTGCGAGTTGCATTTGCCCTCTTCAGAGCGTCCCAGACATGATCTAAAGAGTTGAGGTCTGGAGACCTGGCTGGACAATCCATCCGGCGAATATCCTCACTCTCGAGAAATTCGTCGACCAGAAGAGCTCTATGTGGCCTCGCGTTATCGTACTGTAAAATGAACTCGGGGACCACTGCAGCCCGGAAAAGGCGAACACAGAGCTCCAAAACCTCATCCTTATACCTCACAGCAATCACAGAGCCTCTCTCAAAGATGTGGAGAGGTGGGCGGCCATCCAACATGATGCCTGCCCAGACCATTACACCGCCACCGGCATAATTGTTGATTTCTCGGACATTGGAGGGTAGGTAGCGGCTCTCTCCATATAAAAGTACGGCGAGAATCGGTGTTTAGGCGAAAACGGGACTCGTCGGTGAACAGAACGGTCGCCCATTACTCAGTACTCCAATCACTATGCTGCCTGCACCATGCTAATCTGACTCTCCTGTCCGTAGACGTGAGCGGGACGCAAACAGTCGGTCTTCTGGAAAACAACCCTCTCTCATTCAGTCTTTTGGAAACAGTCACCCTTGTTACACGGATTCCTGTGGCTGCATTCAGGTCCCGAGAGAGCTGAGAAGCTGTAGACCCTCTGTTACGCCTCGCTAAAATGGACAAATAGCGAGCTTCTCTGGCCGTCGTGGCTCTTGGTCGACCTTGCCCAGGCTTTCTCCCGATGGATTCAGTATCCTGGAACTGTTTCCATAGGTTACACACGACGCTGGGCATTAAATTAAACTCTCCACATATCTGGACTTGCGATTGGCCTGCCTCTAGCCTTCCATCTAACGATGGAATAAGTAACCACCATCTAAACAATGGTGGGTCCTTTCTTTTACTATTCTGATGGGAATTTAACCGATTGCTGTAAGATAACACCAATAAATTCGCCGACGTGTGCTAGCGAACGCAAATCGTCTTGCCTTCCACGTGCTTATAAAGAATGTTTTCTTGCTGTCTCCGCCTACACACACGTGTACGCTTACGAATTTTCCGTACAAGATTTGCATTTTTATCTAGAAGCAGTCGTTTTTCCTTCAGTTCAGTTCATCTCATGCAATTCGATAAAATAGCCAAATTCTCTTATATTTATTTATATTATATTTATTATGCAAATATTTATTTCACCAGTGTGCTGTATCCAGTGTTCTCAACTTAGTTTGAACATTAGTATAGACATGCCGAGGTGCGGAGACCCTTCGCGATAGATTTTGAATTGTTCTGGAAGATGTTGGGATAAGCATACAAGCAAGTTGCCGGCTAGATTCAGTCATTCGGTTCTAGAAAATTAAACTCAGCGCTTCATATAAATAAACGGTGATTTAATTCATGTGATATAGTTAGTATTATATAACTTCTTGTTTGTTGCTTTTGATAAAGTTTTGTGATGTGTTTGCTGCTGTATCTGTGATGATGGATCGATTTTGGAATAGTAATAAACGTAATAGTGCAGATAATGAAAGTATGTCTTCAACCAGTGGCACTACTGTCAAGAGACGAAAATATCGGAAATATGATGACGGTTATTTAGAGTTTGGTTTTACGTCAACATAAATGCATGCGGAAGAGAATCCACAATATGCACTGTGTATGAAAGGAGCGGCAGCGGAGTGCATGCTTCCAAGATAACTGAAGTACCACTTAGAAGCTAATCAACGCAGCATGGTTGGCAAATCTCGAAGATATTTGCCAGGAAGTTAAAAGAGTTGAAACAACACACACAATTTTTTTTTAATTTTATCAATACCAAGCAACATTTTGGTAGCATCTTACAAGGTGGCTTACAGAATCACAAAATATAAGAAGCATCATACCATCCCAGAAGAACTTATTCTACAGGTTACTATAGATATGGTGAACATAATAGTTGGTGAGTCTACTGGGAAGCTGCTTTAAAAGTGCTTTTGACCAATAAGACAATTAGTCGGAGTATACAACATATGGGGAAGGACATAAATGATAAATTAATTGAAAAAATAATTAAAGGAGTAGAATTAGGATTACAGCTAGATGAGGCTACGGATAATAAATAATACAGATGCTCATTTGATAAGGAATGTGCAGTTTGTAGATAGTAATAATATTAAAAAACTTCTGTTTTGTAAAAATATAACTACAGGAGCAAAGGCTTCAGACTTGTTCGAGATTCTTGATACAGTCATATCTGAAAATCAGTTGATATTTTACGTTCTTGCATCAGGAAAAGCCTTATGTTCTGTGCAAGGGCTTACTCTAAGATTTTGCATCAGGTACTCTATTACCTTACAAACATTGGTTCCCTTCCTAAGTATATTGATTTTACCACGATTATAACTTTTCTGACAGTAAAAAATTTGAAAATTAAATACTAAACATTTTGATAAAAAAGCAATAAATATAGAATTTAAAAGATATTAAAATATTATATATTAAACCAAAGGGGCGTTAGCTCAGACGGGCTGTTAGTCTCGAAACGGCATTTTGCGTCGAATCATTAAAAGCGTTGAATAACTGTTGCCACCAAATATTATCGCTCTGTATTATATTTAAGGAGATTAAATAATGAAGAATTCGCATGAAGGTATGTATGTTTCTCGTATTGTGAAATACTATGGTACCTAGCGCCATCAAATTTCGATTAACGTAGTCCTCCACCCAAACATGGGCATCTGGAAGCCCGAAATTTTAACTTCAAATTTGATTTATTAATCTATTTCTTATTTTTTAAATCTTTAACAAACGTTTGATTAAGAAACTCAACGATTTCAAAGCGAGCAGTGGCAACACTCTACTGAATAAAATAATATTTTTATCTCCAGCGCGCGAGACTGCTTATCGGAAATTCTCAAGCTATGCTGTTTTTAAATATTATTAATGCAAACGGGCGTCAGCCCAAATGCTCTCTAAATGTAAATGCGTGTGCAAATGAAGGGAAAAAAACACTCTTTTGGACGTAATATAAAATCTGAAAGCTCTCAGATACTTTTTTTGCAGTTATTATTTTTAATATATATTTTAACGTTAAACTATTTCGTTATTAGATAATAAATTGTGTTTGTAACTCAGAATGCATATAAAATCAGAATGCATATAAATTTATCATTGGATTATTATCGTTTCCACGTTCTATTCAAATACTATAATAATCTACACGATGTATAAAAGAAATTAAGCAAACGAAACAGAAAACAAACAGTTTTCACAGACGATTCAGTATTCTCATTCAATAATTCAGTTCTCACTTCCCGCAAGGCAAAAATACCTAAAAGCTCAAATATCTATATTCCTAAGTAAATTTGAAACACTTATTTCCTCGAAGAAATTCCAGAAGGATTAAGCA